CCTATCAAACACGCTTACACACGCCTGCTGGAAGTCCAAGCCCCTCGCACACAAAACCTCCTTTACCCCCTCCCTCCGACCTTTCCTAGGCCGACCCCTACCCCGCCTTCCTTCCACTACAGACTGATACACTCTTGAAGTCATTCTGTTTTGCTCCATTCTCTGTACATGTCCGAACCACCTCAACAACCCTTCCTCAGCCCTCTGGACAACAGTTTTGGTAATCCCGCACCTCCTCCTAACTTCCAAACTACGAATTCTCTGCATTATATTCACACCACACATTGCCCTCAGACATGACATCTCCACTGCCTCCAGCCTTCTCCTCGCTGCAACATTCATCACCCATGCTTCACACCCATATAAGAGTGTTGGTAAAACTATACTCTCATACATTCCCCTCTTTGCCTCCAAGGACAAAGTTCTTTGTCTCCACAGACTCCTAAGTGCACCACTCACCCTTTTCCCCTCATCAATTCAATGATTCACCTCATCCTTCATAGACCCATCCGCTGACACGTCCACTCCCAAATATCTGAATACATTCACCTCCTCCATACTCTCTCCCTCCAATCTGATATCCAATCTTTCATCACCTAATATTTTTGTTATCCTCATAACCTTACTCTTTCCTGTATTCACTTTTAATTTTCTTCTTTTGCACACCCTACCAAATTCATCCACCAATCTCTGCAACTTCTCTTCAGAATCTCCCAAGAGCACAGTGTCATCAGCAAAGAGCAACTGTGACAACTCCCACTTTATGTGTGATTCTTTATCTTTTAACTCCACGCCTCTTGTCAAGACCCTCGCATTTTCTTCAGTTTGTGTGTATTAAAATTAATATTTCATGTGGTAAAATTTGTTTTTTTCATACTTTGGGGTGTCAGGAACGGATTAATTTGATTTCCATTATTTCTTATGAGGAAAATTAATTTGGCTAACGATAATTTCACCTAACGTTGAGCTCTCAGGAACGGATTAATATCGTTAGGCGAGGGTCCACTGTATATATCATGTTTCTCTGTTATTTATATTGTTTATTATGTTATATTAGATCAGTTGTGATATATAAATAAGCTGTAGAGTTGATATTAGTGTTATACTGAAGTATTTTGTCCTGCCTCCAAAGAGCCAAGAATTCCCCTGGAATGGATTAATTAATTAATGGCATTTCAATTAATTAAAACGAGGAAGATTAATTTGATATACGAGCAAATTGAGTTACGAGCTAGGTCATGGAACAGATTAAACTCATATGTCGAGGTTCCACTGTATTTCTAGAATTTGGTCCTTGTTACTGTACATAAGGGTTGAAAATTTGAAGCCAGTTGGATGAAGCAATCTTGAGATATGAACAAAATTAAATAGAAAAGTAGGAGGAAGAAAAAGAAGAAAAAAAAAATCAGGCAACCTCTTAAAGGTACTCTCCTTTGGGGATACCTAATCAAGGGACTCAGGGAAAGCAGTTTGCTGAGCTTGAGTTCTGGAGATGGGAAGTACAGTACCTTGGCTCTATAGGATGTGTGTGTGGGGGAGGGGGAGATGATGTGTTCAGTGAATCATTAGAACTGTGATGCCCATGCTCTTTTGGAAAGACAGCTAGGGGAGAGAGTGATGGTGGAAGTGTTTTCCTTCTTTGGACCACCCTGCCTAAGTGGGAAAAAGGTTTGTGTATTTAAAAAAACAATATTGTGTGCTTGTGAAGAGTCATTTTTTGTGAGAGGTGAGATTAAAATAATACTGGTAGCTTTTATAAAAGAAAGGTGTTTTAAATTTTGGCACAACTGCTTTTTTTTCCAAGTTTCTTCAAGACTCCTGGTCATCTAGCAGTACCTGGGAGTTAGATTAATGTGGATTGTATCTTGGTGATATATTGCATTGCAATGTATGAAACTCCAGACATACTGCAATGCATACAAATGGCAAAAATTTTATGGTATAAAAAGACTCTAGACATGCTGGAAAGATCAAAATGTTAAGTAAAAGTTTCCTTTGTAATGTCATGTGTCCAGATTATTACAAAAATATGCTACTTCTTTGTGATCCATATGACTACAGAGGTTGTAAATAATTAGCATTACCTTAAATGTTTAAAAATCTATATGAAGATTATCTTCGATGTTTATTCTTTTCTTTTGTATAAAAAATTTGATTATCTGTCTAAATTTAATAGTTAGCTGACAAGTAAATATAACAATCAATTATCCCTTCATTGTAAACAAGTAAGTGTTGCCCATTTAACCTGACATTTCATGTTATAGTGGCACTTAAAATACCTAACCAACTGTCAGAGTTAAACTCATGCTATTTAGTTCCTGAAGGTAAAGTATTCCAGAACTGTGGCTGACAGAGTAGGGCATTTTTAATAGTTGTGTTTTAATTATATTTAATTTTATAACTAATATATACAGATAGTTACCACTACATGGAATGAAAACAAAAATCAATTAATAATAAGTGGCTCAGCCACATTGCATGTTTTTTCCCAGGGATTTTCTGAATAAAACATATTTATAAGACTTTATTTGTGGCATCGACCACTGACAATGTGTGACAGTTTGCTCGTGTGGTTGTCTGCATTGTCCCAGGAGCATAATTGTAATGGCATAGTTGGCTGCAAGCAATAGATAACATTAACTTATAGAAGTTCCTTCATCGTTACTGGCGTAACTACTAACACGGTGTAGTGAAATTAATGGCTGGTGCTAATGATGTGGCTAAGGGAAGAGTTGTGAGGGGTCTCATAGCTCATGTGTGATGTTAGAGCACTGAAATCAATATAGCTGTGGCTGTGGACATAACTAAGCAGTTTTATCTATTTCCAAGCATGAACACTTAAGCTAGGCTTAGACTTACCTGTTGAACCTGTAGACAAGTGCAGGGGGTCATTGCCCCTGCAGCCTAGTCCCAGACCAAGTCTTTTGGTTGACAGCCTAATCAATTGGGTTAAGTTATGCTCTTGTATTTACATAACTCAGTGTTATTTTCTCAACACCTCCTGACTCAGCACCGTCGTGTGTTGGAGCAGCTCTCTTTATTGTTGGAGTGAAGGTGGAAGTTTTCAAGAAGAACTTGAACCAGTTCCTTTGAAAGTACCAGAGCAGCCAATTGTTATGGCTATGATGGGCTGCAGGTCGCTGGCAACAATTGCTTGGTTGACAGGCGGTCAACAATTAAGTCTGGCCTCTGGCCAGGCTGCAAGGTTGAACCCTCAAAATTATTCACAGATATGATTAATACAAAAGTATAATCTCATGCAAAAATAACTATATCTCTTTTGAACCAAAGCCTTTAAAACTCTGCTTCACAGTGGAATGTTTGAGGACTTCCTCAATGCCAAAGCCTGACACATTTTATTAGTGTAAGACCCATCCTGTGTGTAGCATTATGTTAGTAAAATGATCTCATGTCATAGTCATGTTAGGCAAATATAGACTAGCTCTTGTTTCATTCTTGTAAAATAGCTTACAGATCAGGGTTACCACACAGTGCAGTTTTTCTTGATTAAAAAAATAGCACCGGCCACTATTGACACATTACCGTGGTACTATCATCAGCCTATTGTTAATTCTCTGTTGGCCACCATTCAAATTATTTAAGAACCTTTCATAAAGATAATTACTGTGAATTTATTATTCATCTATAAGCAGCACAGAGCCCATCAAAGGTTAATATAAGTTTTGTTTTTATTAATGATTAATTAATGGTAATTGAGGACGTTGTTCCATCACGCTCCTGAGGCAGCACCAGCGGCTTACTCCATCAGTTAATTTTGCTCTTACCCTTGACCAGTGGACCAGAATATCTTTGACCCATCAGTAGACATACATTCATGTGCAGCAGCATTTTGATAGTCATTGCTCTAACTAGTAGGCTTCTGGGCCAAACTAAGTGGGGCATATTCAGATATGCAACATTCATATTGTTGGAATAAACATGTTTTTCCCTTAACATGATGAAATAAACAATAAGGGTTTATTAAAAATTAGTGACACTCTCCAAGCTGCACCTTTTAACTGGAGAACTGGCAGTTTCTCTTGGTATATGACTGACCATTTTCATCACTGAGGGGTAATGATGTTAGATCATACATGAACCATGTGTTAGGATTAAGGGACGGAAGTAATGTTTCATGCTTAGTCTTCCCTTTTCTCAAGTGGATCCAAGGAATTGGTCTTAATCCTATGTTCCATGAGAGCTCAGTCAGACCTTCCCTTATGTTGGTGGTGTTAGAAGACAGGGCTAGTCTTGGCCTTACTTCTCACTTGCCAGAGTCAAGTCGAAGATCTGAACTGGTCATCCCTTTGTCAGCTCTTGGCAGAGAGACCGACCCTGGTCCATTTGAGTAGAGGGTATGGTCTTGAGCCTCACCTTACTTTTATCCCTCTTTTTTTTCCTGCAGGCAGGAGCAGAGGTAAGATAAGGTCACCCATGTATACCATGTCGCATGACCTCTCCTGACCAGACCAGACTGACCTTGACTATGATCACTCATAAAGTCATGCGACAGACAAAGATGCCCCGTTTAGTTGGACCCTCTTTGAATGTGATAAACTTAGTCACTGACCCCGATAATAATATACGGTATTCCATTATGTACTAGTGGTTCAACTGACAATCTACTGACTCCGTCGTCCAGCCCTGTTTTATTTTGAAATCCTCTAGAACTTTGTACCCTCAGTGCTATTATTTTGTAGTCCTGTAGGCTACTTTCTTACACATTTAGATCCACTTTTATTCTCCAGAAAATTGATTTCCCTGCCTCTTCAGCTTAGTTTTCCATCTTATACTGCTTTTGTTTTTTTACTTCTTTCTTTTGTTTGTTATTATTAGTATCCATTCCTTTTTTTTGCATTATTTTTCTTTCAATTTGTTTTTCCCTTGTTATCAACCTCTACTCTCGTGTTGAAGTATTTTTAGTACAATATCTTTGATCCTGTGGTGGTGCTGTTTTTTGGCCTGAATAACAACCTTACTTTTTTTTACCCTCTCCACAGCCTCACACTACTCCTACTACAGCAGAAAGAGATTTAGAGGTAAATTTTGTTACATGGAAAATTAAAATTTATAATTCTTGCTAAAAAAAATTAGGAAAAAATATGACACCACCCACCACAGTAAATTCTGTTTTCAATTTGCCTGATACTCGAAGAGCCAGTCAGGCGAGAGTGCACTATTGACGCTGGAAAAATAACATGTCTGGATGAATAGTAGCACTTTTAGGAAATTTTTTCCTTGTAGAAATCTTTCCCAAGGGAATACCACCACAAATCAATTGGTTGAATTTTAATGTTCTTTGGACCTCAGGATTCAGTGCATTTGGGTCTTGTGGAAGATAACTTTGTTTGGAATCAGCAAAGCTGTTGATGGACTAGTAAAGGTTAGTTTGAAACAGATTGTTCTGCTTAACATTTGATTCAGGTTTTCATGTTTATTTAAAAAAATAAATTGATATTAAAATTTGATGAGATAAAGAATAATTACAATGCAGTATTGTTTGTATTATTTTAAGCATTTTTTAAATATTTATCTTTTCAAGTTTTCAATAACGTCCCTTTTTTGTTATATGGCTTAGTATTTCTCTTCAGGACTGCTTGCAGTTAGTAATGAATTACCCATATGGCATAATAGCCACAGTTCTTAGAACCTGTGGAACTTCCAGTGGCCTACTGAAAAATTTATTTATAGTTGACTCAAAAATAAGAAAAGGATATAATGGTACAGTAAATCAGACTTTATAATTTTCTAAAAAAAGGAAGAAAATTATTAGGGTACGGTTATTTTTTAATATCCAAATAATGTACATAGATCAGTCTTGGGACCAATGAAAATGCAAGTGCTTTGGGTCTTCAAAAGCTACACTCCAACCCTGCTTGCAGTCGCTGCTGATTCTTTAAAAAGAAATTACTTTTCGGAAAAATCCTTCTGCTCATTATAATTCACTTCTAAATATATAAAAGCATGCACAGCATAAGGAGAAACAATGGTTTAAATTTTTCTCTTACCCTCAAATATCGTACACAAGATTAACATCCTGAGAACGTTCTTATTCTACCAGTTAGATTCCGTGTGTGAGTACCCAGCCCCCTGATCACAAACTACCGACTGCACGACACCCACAAGGCTTCACTGCCACTACGCCCACGCCCGTGATCATTGTACTTTCACTATGATCACATTATTCCTACGACTGCACGACGCCCATGAGAGGCCTCACTGCTCATACGGCTCGACTGCAAAAGCCTAACTCCATCCTCAAGAGTACTGTACTACATTTAAAATAACTGTACTGCAGTCGTACAGATAACAATTGCTTATTTTCTAAATATATTATTTTACAGTGTTTGAGGATGGGTTTAGGTTCACCATGACCTGTAGATTAGCCGTTTTCTTTGTGTTGTCACTAGTGGTGACTGCTAGATTTTTATTAATAGTAGTTGAATGAGGCTGTTGAAACTCTTACGTCTCTTTAGTTTTTGTATTTGTTAATTTGTATTTCTTGTTTTTAAGATGATATGTTTTACAAGCTAAACACTGAAGGATATTATCATGCAGTATGCTTGTTTGCTATTATTATAAATTATTAATGATTATATTTTAATTAGTTTATCAAAACATATCACCTTACAGCTACAGTCTTTACTATGCAGATATTGTCACAATGAGTTGGGCACATGGAGTGTTTTCCACACTGTACTTTATAGTATCCCAAAAATCCATAGAGGACACCCCTGCCAATTTGTTTAGATATTTGTCTTTATAAATACCAAATATTTTTTCCTTTAATGTAGTTTTGGAAAACAGAGCATTACACATTACTCTATTTTTTCCCCACAGGAAGCCAAAACTGACTTATTGTTATTTCTGTTGCTTATGTCTTTTGTTATGTAATTTTTTCCCTGACATACTGGGAACTTATCCACTTATCATCAGTCTGTCTGCAAATTGGAAATATATGATACTTATCAAGGACTGAATCTTCTTAAAAGTTACAATTAAATGTACAAGTAATTAGTTCAAGTTAGTCTGCTATAACTTTATTATTGCTGTTATTAGAAATTGTAATTATCTCTACAATTAATTTAAAGTGCTTCTTATTAACTAAAAATTTACAGATGCCTAGTGGAGATCATAATTTATGACTTTGTTCTAGTTAAAGTAAGAATATATCCAAGTGCAGCAGCATGTTTGTCCTTGTGTCACTAGAACTTTCTTTATGTATGTGTTTGTGCCTGCATCAACCTCCGTTCTCCATGCATGAATCACATGAATAGAATATTAATTTTTTAATGTACGTACTGAATATGAATATTTGTTGTTTTAATGTAGTCATTATTTAATAAAAATGTTAGATTTCCTTGATTTCTTTATACATATAAAAATAAGTAAACTGAGATAATTTAATTTGAATTCAGGACAAATTTAATAAATTTGTGTATAGTGAAGAATTAAACAAAACAAATAGTGTGTGTAGAATAAACATTGTATTTTCTTAAAATATGCTGATCTGATAACACATTAATTCTTCTGTAGGGAGAAGAGGAGGAGTTAGTGGGCCTCAATGAGAAATTTGACCACAATGAGGCAGAAGGATTTTAGTATACCAAAATCTTTTATTTGATTTTAAAACTCACTCTATTAGATTTGAGAATAATGATTTCTCAGATTTTTTCTGGCACAGTATTATCATTATTACCTGATATTATCTTTAGCCTTGATAATAATAGTAATAATAATAATAATAATAATAGTAATAATAATAATAATAATAATAATAATAATAATAATAATAATAATAATAATAATAATAATAATATTACTGTATTTTTCATTATTGTTATTGTTATTATTATTATTATTATTTTATTATTATTATTATTATTTTATTTTGGTTTTGGTTAACTAATGTTAGAAAATTTTGAGTTGAAGTTTGTGCATTACACTAAAAAAGCTACTTGTACCATTTTATTTAACTATTTAAAGTAATTGTAGTACTATACAGTACTAGAGGAATACAGTGACGGGCCCTCTGTGATAGTATTTTATGATGCCCACTTGCTTTTCTCAAGTATTAAAGAGTTTATTTTCCATATGTATATAGTGTGTTGATGGTGTGTGTGTCAGTGTCTGCACTTGTGGTCTTTTTTGGCTCTCAAAACAAGCAGTTGCCTATATTTTTCAAAAGCTCAAGTAATAGTCAATCTGAGCTGTGGATTGGTTAAATGAAGAGGATTAAAATAACCTTTTATGTTATATAGAGTTAGTTTATAATACAGTTCTAAATTTATTTTAATTGTGTTTTATCTGATAAGTATTGTATTAGGTTTCACTGACTATATTTTCTTGGAAAATAGTTAACTAAATTTAATATTTACATGCATTTAAGATTTTAGTTTCCACATAATATTTATTTCTTATCATTTGGCAGCTTAAGAATTATTTATTCACATTCAGAAGACTATTGAGAGTTTCTGGGCATTGAAAACTTACACCGTGAATTTGTGATTGGATTATTTAATTTCAGTGATATAATTTGGTCAAGAAACTAGAGGTTCCTCCCACAACACTGGAAGGACTATCAGTCATCATGCTCATTCATACTAAAAATATACAGTGTCAATTATAATTTTTCTTCGTATCAGCATACAGTAGGTGCTCAATTATCCAAACTTTGACTTCAGGTTTCATGAACTGCTAGTAGGAAAAAGCAAACTGTATAATCTCCCCAACATTAAAAGTAAATTGTTAGTGTTTTAATAAATCATCTGTTTACATTATCTTGTAAATCTACACACCTGCACTCTCTTTGTTGATTCATGGGACAGGTTTTCATTCTCATTCAGCTATCTGTCTTGGGTTAATAAAAGCCTCACATCAACATGTAGAATATTATTCATATATGTAGACATTAACTTTCCTCCTCCATGCTGAAGAACTTTGATGGATCTTAATTTTGCTTAGCCCCTAGACTGTTCCAGCAGGATGTTTTTGGTTTGTTTGAGCTAAATCTGTGGTGGATGTAAGTGAGGAACGTCAATTTTGCATCTGTGATTCTTATTGATACTTTGGCGGTTAGGACATCATGTAAACATTTCCTTCTCAGATTTACTCACATTTTTTTTTTTTTTCAACAAGTCGGCCGTCTCCCACCGAGGCAGGGTGGCCCAAAAAAGAAAGAAAATCCCCAAAAAGAAAATACTACATGTCTACTTTTATAAGGGCTTGATTTACAGTCAGTGCTCCCCCAGCTTTTTGTCAAAGCTGTTATTTCTCAGCAATTCATGGAAGAAAGTCATCTGCTACTTTTGACTCCTAGTGATAGTTCTCATTTGTGACTCAGTTGTGAGCTGTCATGGACATGCACTTTCTTGCTATATTTGATCTAGTTGTAGGACAGTGTATGGCCCAGTGTTAGATTATATTGTATTAATGAATAGGTACTCCATATTCAAGTCAAGATTCCAGGAATATTGCTGTTAGTATGAGACTTTCAAAACTTTTTCAGTTACTGATAGATATTTTCCAGGACTACTCTTTCTTGATTTCCATTCAAAATGTGAAGGATATTTTCATTTGGGTTTGCCTTTCAAGAAACCATAGAAAATTAATATCCTCTCACTTGCAGAGAGTTTCTTGCGTACTGTACCAAGTGACTTGGCCTCCTCCCATGTCTAGACTTTCTTTACATTTCCTGCCTAGATGACTCTATCACTTCCTTCTATGCCCTTTGCTACATATGGATGAGGATACAGAGGCTAATTTTTTTTAATTACTGTATTTTGGAAGAAAACAAGTGTTCAGACAGTGGAAGTACTTAAGTCTTTATTTGCTGGGGATGTAACAGTCAGTTTCTTATAATACTCCTTGTAAGAAATAACACATCCTATTATGCTCAATGAGTACCTGTTAATTTCACTACTACACAGCTTAATTTCTTTATTGGGCTTTGTTTCTTGGAGAATACTTTCTTTCCTTATGTATCTAATGTCAGCTGTCTATGTAATATTGGCACAGGAAGTTATGCTGAACAGTCTTA